TAGAAAAAGAAGTTAAAAAAAATGCTACAAGAAGGATCCTGATATGGTAAAAATGGTCAACATGATACAGAATTGTAGCAACTTGAGAAACATTGTCTTAGGAAACCTAGTAGATATGGTGATGGCAGGCATTGGTTGCTAGAACAGAATTCAGTTTCCCAAAACCTTCACCTCAAGATTAATAGCACACAGAACAGCAAAGATCAACTTTAACTACTTTGCACTTTTTGCCTAGGGAAATCCTTCTTCTCAGAGGCAAGCAGCATCTTCTAATGCTCATCACTCCACATTTCACCACCCCCAAACTGTACTGTACAGCTCAGACTGCAACCAGGTCAGATGCCATCATGCTTATACTCATAGAGTAGAACTACACAAAATGTGATTATTGAAGATGACCACAAGTTTGGTGATGTTTTCTCAGTGAGAGGTTGTGTTTATACCACTTTCCTTCTTTCCTTTGAATCTGAATGGGTATGTGACTACTTTGATCAGTAGAATATGGACTACTTTGATCAGTGGAAGTGGTGTTACTAATTTTGCTCCACTACCAGCTTCCTGTCTCTTGGAAAACTCTCTATGGGAGCCCTGAGATACTATGTAAGAAATCCAACCACTTTGAAACCATCATATTGTAAAGGCCACGTGTGGCATTTGATCAATAGTCCGGGTAAACCTAGCCTCCTAGCCATCTCAACCAGTCACCATTTTCTCTAAGGTCCTATCGTTTCCAAAGCACCAAGAGGCCTTCTTGGGCCTTCCAGACCAGCACACTTGCAACTAAACACTATCAAATAATCTCTGTGAATATCCACTGGAAGACAATAATCTCCTTATTCAAATTTCTAACCCAGGAAAACCATGACATATAATGCAATCCTATTGTTTTATGCTACTAACCTTAGATATAGATTTGTTGTGCAACAGTAAATAGTTGAAATAGAACCAAAGAATTCTGAATACAAATAATTCTAAAAGGACCATCAAGAAACTTCTTTCCTAGCAGTCCTGACAATCGTGAAGTCTAACAGAAAGGCAACTTTGAAATGTGACCTGGAACATATAAAACCTAATGCAAATATTCAGTACACTAGTTTCTCTTTGTTTGTTGGATTTAAATTCCACTTCTTGGGATCAATTACAAAAGCTTTCTGAGCTTCAGTTTCTTATTCATCAAAATGGAGATTAAAATATCCAATCATCTCACAAAGCTGCAAGATGATAAAATAATTACAGAGAAGAGAGAATTAGAAAGAGAAAGCTGATGTCAACTGAGTACCTAGTATATGCCAGATATTTCTCCTGCCCCACTGCAGTGTGGTGACAAGAGCACAGACTTGCATTCAAGAAAGTAAGTGATATTAACTGCAAGATATTAAATAAGCCATTGACAACTCTGAGAATTTTTTTTGGAATGTGATAATTAAGGAGATTATTACTTATACTAATATTACTGGGTTATTTAAAATGAAAGTTAAATATGTTCACTGCTCTTAAGAGACATAATGAAGTTAAAAACTGCTTGGAAATATAAAACTCATTGTGACTGACAATGACATCAAATCTATTATTTTACTGGACTAAATATCTCTGTTAGAGTAGGTATCTAGGCAGACATGAGCAGAGCAAGAGAGTGTCGCTCCCAGGAATGTCAGGTGACCATTAGTAGATGGTCAGGCAGATGTTAAACTTGCTCTAAAATAATAATTCGTTGTGGCTGGTGCCAGGGAAAGGCAGTCTCCAAATAGAAACACTCGAAGCTGGTGATCAGCAGCTTCCTGATAAGATCACAGGAGTTGGGTGAGTGGAGCTCAAGCATGTACACTAACAGGCAAAATGGAAGAGTTTAACTGGTATATGACCTTCTTGCAACACTTGACTGGTAAGGGGAAAAACACCTCAAGTGAGCATGTGCACAACTTCAGTAAGCACATTGCGTATGCAGTCCCTCCCACGTGCTGGCAGGCCACTGTGCATGCAGACAGCCTGCTCCAAGGAAGAATCAGGGGAGAAGAAACAGAAACCGTGAAACCATACCAATGTATTATTGTAAAACTCCAAGTCAAGGGTCAGGTGGGGCACTTGGATCTCTCAAGGTACCTGCCTGGCCCTCTTCCAAGTATACTTTACTTCCTTTTGTTCCTGCTCTAAAACTTAATAAACTTACACTCCTACTCTAAAACTTCCTTAGTCTCTCACTCTACCTTCTGTCTCTCAGCTAAATTCTTTCCTCAGAGAAAGCAAGAATAGAGTTGCTACAGACCCATATGGAGTTGCCACTGGTAATGTCTCTAGATATATATTTCAGTTATAAGTATTTGTAATTTGTGGTGACCACAATGATGGAGTTTACAGGGAAGATGCTTCTTCCTTAAATTCCATCTCTGCTTGGTCACTTAGGAAGCCAAGTTTGGGAACTATAAGATTCAGGCTCAGTTTACTGTTAAATGTCTGTCTCCAAATGACCAGAGGGTCTTGCTCAACTTCCTACCCTTTGGTACTGCTGAGTAAAATCAACCAAGTAATATAGGAATTTGTAGATACCACCGAGACTGCTGTTCTTACCATACCTACAACTTTATAGGGCCAGCATTAATTTTTTTAGGAGATGTATTTTGTATAATATAGTAGCACAAGTGGCTGAGCAAGAAAACTGTTAGTAAAAAATCATGTCAGAGATGGGGAACCTTGCCCGTAGTTCTGATATAACCATATTTTTGCTGTATGACCTTGAGAAAAACCACTAACGGAAATGAGCTTCCACTTCCTCACCCACACAAAGGTAATAATGAACCCTGATTGACTGTCCCATTATGAAGCAAAATGAAATAATGTATGGAAAAGTATGAGGAAAATAGCAAATATATTTGCAAATGGGAGGCATGTCTATCGTACTACCACCAAAATCACTTATTCTTATGGAGTCAAATTATTTCCTGTGGTTAAGCTGGGCACAAGTGACCACAAAAATCAGAGCCATTAAGTGTGTGCATTAAGCTTTTCCACCAAAAACATGGAAGCCCTAGGATGTAAAACTCTAAATTATGTTCCTCACATTTCTCCCAGCTGACTAGAGGTATTGAGAATTTAGGCTCTACAAGCAATTTCCTGATACCATATTTGCTTTGACACTTTCCAGAAACTTGTCTTTGGCTAAGTGATATAACCTCTCTAGGCTTCCTTTTCACTGTATTTTAACAATGGGCATTTATTCAACAAATATTTAAAAAGGACCTCAATATGTATGACGCAGTTCTCTGAGTTGGTAAACAGGAATGCACCAAATAGAAAAATATCTTGGCTTCTTGAACTAATGTTTAAGAGAGAAAAAATGTAACTGACATATGTTAGATGGGATTGAGGCAACATGAAGGAGGAAAGAAAATATTAGGGAAGTGTTGAAATTTTAAATATGGAAAAGGAAGGTTTCACTAACGTGCTGATATTTGAGTGAATCACTGAAGAAAGTGAGAGAATTCATTTATGGATATTCCAGTAGATAGACAAGCAGCTGCAAAGGTCATGAGACCAAAATGTGCCTGGAATGCTCATAGATCCACAAGGAAGCCAGAGTGGCTACAGGAGCATAAGTGAAGAGGAGGACTGGAAGAATTATAGTTACAGGGACAGACAAGATTATTATAATATTATAATGTTGGGTGAATTAATAAGATAATGCAAAAATTTTTTTGCTCATAACAAGTGCTCAATAAAAACAGTTATAATAATGTTGATTATAATGATCAAATGGAAATTAAATGATGTGATGAAATAACTGATTCTGGGTGAATATTTCCAGTTACAGGGTCTCTAAAACTGCTAAAATGATTGTTGACAAGTGGATATATTACATTCTAACCAACTTTTTCATTTATTATTTTTATCTTGGACAAAGTACCAACATTTCCCCCATAAGAAAATGCTAATGGTACTAATGGTTAAAAAAATTGTGTATATACTATGGAATATTATGCAGCCATATTAAGGAATAAGATCATGTCCTTTGCAGGAATATGAATAGAGCTAAAAGACTTTATCTTCAGCAAACTAATGCAGGAACAGAAAACCAAACACCACATGGTCTCACTTACAAGTGGGAGCTGAACAATGAGAACACATGGACACAGGGAGGGGAATAACACACACTGGGGCCTGCCAGGGAGAGCATTAAGAAAAATAGTTAATGCATGCTGGTCTTAACCTAGGTAATGGGTTGATAGGTGCAGCAAACCACTATGGCACATATTTACATGTGTAATGAACCTGCACATCCTGTACATAGTACCCCGAAACTTAAAAATTAAAGTTAATTTGAAAAACTTGTGTATATGTCATGTGGACAGAGAGAAACTGAGAGTGTGTGCAAAGGCTGGACCTAATGGGGTAAAATATTAACAGTCGGTGATTCTGGGTGACATGTATATGAAGGTCTTTTATACTGCTCGTAGTCTTTAAATAGATCTGTAAATTTCAAACTGTTTTCAAACGCATACTTTTTTTAAAAGAAAAAGAAAAAACCATAGGGGCATCAGTTCATAAGTTCTGCACTGGATGGAGCCAGGGTGTATTAAACAGCAGTTTGAGTATTTGGAAGAACAGAAACATTGGCTTTCCTTCTTCTATATGAGTTAGGTCCACCATTAGGCCACAGAGAGACCCAAATGGGTTAACTAAGGCTAATTTAGAATTTTTTTCACACTTACTTTGTAATACTTAAAAAAATAAAAAATAAAAAACTTGTGTGTCTACCAGAGTGCTTAGCACAAAGTAGGTTTTCAATAGAGAGAGGTATCCATAATTGACAGGAAGCATTTGCTTTACAGGGGAAGTTGTTACATCTGTATGAATATTCCTTACAGCGATGTTTCTCAAAGTATGCTGGTAGAGAATGTGCATCAAAATAAGGTGGCCTGGAACGACACTGCCTGAACTCAAACCCCAGCTCTGCCACTTGCTAGACTGCCCTTGGATAAACAACTCCGTCTCCATTGCTCTCCTAGATGGCAGAGGTAGAGCAGATAAAGAAGTGGACGTTCAGCAAGTTCACCTACCATGGCGTGGACCTGGGCCAGCTGCTGGACTTGTCCTACGAGCAGCTAATGAGGCCGTACATTGCGAGCCAGCTGCGGCGGCTGAACCCCAGCGTGAAGCGGAACTGCGCTCGCTCCTGAAGCGGAACTGCGCTCGCTCCTGAAGCGGAACTGCGCTCGCTCCTGAAGCGGAACTGCGCTCGCTCCTGAAGCGCCTGCGCAAGGCCAAGAAGGAGGCACCGCCCGTGCAGAAGCCGGAAGTGGTGAAGACACACCTGCAGGACATGATCATCCTGCTGGAGATGGTGGGCGTCTACAACAGCAAGACCTTCAACCAGGTGGAGATCAAGCCAGAGATGACCAACCACTATCTGGGCGAGCTCTCCACCACCTATAAGCCCATGAAGCACGGCCCGCCAGGCATCGGAGCCACCTATTTCTGCTTCACCCCCCTCAAGTAGTGCCTTAGCTAGTAAAGGCACACATATCTCAAAAAAAAAAGGATAACAAAATGTAAATTTTTGACTTTAAATAAGTTAACATTTATAAAATGCTTATAACAGTGTCTGACATATAATAAACACTATATAAGTGTTTGTTAGAAAAATTTAAATCACCTGGGGTGAGGAAGAGGGCTTGATACTGTGTGGATTTCCAGATCCCACTCAGGACTGAATGAATCAGAATTTCTTGAGCCTGTGGCATTTTAACAAGCTCTCCAGATAATTCTTAAAGACATTAAAGTTTGAAAGCCACTGCTTTAGTTATTAGCAGCCTTGATGAACTGATTCCATAGGGACAACTAATATAGTAAAATCCAACTTTACTTTGTGTGTTGGTGCCTTAGGTCTGCAAAATCCCCAAATCCTTTAGGGAGATTTCTCTCCAAATCAAATTAAATGGACCAATAAAACCTGCTTTTGTAATGATTAGCATCTCAGATCATGGTTCTGAGTAGGCAAATTTCCTTGACTTGTTTTATCCAGGTGGCTTCTCTTTCTTGATCAGTTTCCCCAGGATAAATGTTACTCACTGTCCATGTCTTTGCTTCTTGGAGGACTGGATACAACTGGGACTACTGGAAGTGTGGAATACAGCCCTTCTCCCTAAATATCCTGTACAGTTTCTGTGCCTGGTAGGAGGGAAGCCATAATAGAAGAAAACAGCTTAAATGGTTATACAAAAAATACCAATTAGGCATGAAAATTTTAGCAGTTGGAGGGGTGGGGGATTGTATGTATGTGTGTGTGCACACATGTATGTTTGTGTGTTTTCCCAGAAGGAAATTTAGAGTTACTACAGAAAGTTGCTATTTTTCATATTTATTTTGTCATTGGAGTCAACTTCTACAGTTCAAACAACTCCATTATGATGCACAAAAAATGAGTCCATATTATGAAGAGAAAGTTTCATGTTAAAGGTGGCAAAGCCCACAGAGGCCAAGGCACTGGTTTCGATGGCCATTTGAACAAAGCAGAGGCAGTGGAGCCAGGCTGCCAGCTTGCTGTTGTTTCTGAGAAGTAGTGACTTTGTGATTGTAAAGCCTCAAAGGAACCTGAAATAGGTATTCAGTTTTTAAATAAACCTATGACTGTCATTATGCAAAGTATTATTTTAACCACTGAACTGTAATTAATAATAATAATTGTAATAATGTTATGAGCTGAATTGTATCCCCCTAGAATTTTATATGCTGAAGTCCTAACAGCCAGTATTTCAGAATGTGACTGCATTTAGATAAAGGGTCTTTAAAGAGAAAAGTAAATTAAAATGAAATAATTAGCGTGAGCTCTAATCCAGTGTGCCTGGATGTTCTCATAGGAGGAAACTTGGACACGTATCTACACAAAGGGAACATCATGTGATGATATAAGGAGAATACGGCCATATACAACCCAAAGAGAAAGGCTTCAGAAGACACCAACCCTGTGGACACCTTGACCTTAAACTTTCACCCTCCAGAACATTAAGGAAATAAGCTTTTGCTGTTTAAGCCACCCAAGGGATGGTACTTTGTTATAGAAGCTCTAGAAAATTAATACAATAATAGTAACTACAAGAATACTAACATTTTATAATTCACATTTCACTGAAGATTTATCTCACTAAAAATCACATAAAAATCCATAAATGCTTACTCTGAGAGAGGCACCATTAATATCATCAGTGTCATTTACAATAAAGTCCAGAGAAGTAAGGTAATTCACATGAAGTCCCCTTATTTACAAACACGAAGGCAGAAATTCTACCCATAATTTCTTACTAAGAGGATCATACTCATTTTATTGCCCTATATGGCTTTCCACAGGAACTGGACTCTATGGAACCTCAGGCAGGAAGAGATATTAGATGCAGCATCTGCCTCTAGACTGACTATCTTCAGGCCTGGGAGCCAATGAGCAGCTGGGGCACTTTGAGGGACCATTTCTGATATGTATGGTTCCCTTCTCAGCCTTGGCCATATCCGTTTAGGAAGAGAGAGAGCATTAAGAGCTATTCTAAAAGCATCTTTGTTATCTCCTTGTTCCCTCAATACTCCCGTATTTGGCTGGAAAAGAGTAATAATCTGAGTATTTCTCCTGCCTTTCAGTGGCCTTCATTTTGTCCCAGATTGAGAAGAGTTGAAAACAAAAATAATAGCGAATCCTTTCCCTAAATTTCTTACAACCCAGGCTGGTGTCTGTTAGATCAAAGAAAGATGAGTGGGAGATTACTCTGTATTGTCTCATTTTCAGAAATTATGTATTGCCCACTGCTGAGGTAAGGGAGTTATGCCTGTGAGTAAGTGTGGGCCTGGAGTGGGAGGACAGACTTCAGTTTTGTGGGTGACTTTCAGCACAGGTGCATTGACCTTGATGTCTCGGGAGATAATGTAGACATTGTCAACTCTGAAATGATCACCAATTTGTTCTCTCCTGGAAAGTCTCTCCATTTGATCCCTTTTCAAATCCTCCAACTTGCACATTAAAGTTTGGTTTTTATGCAGTCTCCTTCTTGCCATTTTTCTGACAAATTCAACTGGAATCTCTATATATCAGTATCATGAAATATTCAACCTAATGATATGCCATTTTCTCTTAAATAAAGCAGTGTTCATAAGACTATCTACCAACTCTGTGCTTAGGTTCTAAAATATACCTGAGATCAGGAAACTGAGACTCATTTCTTTCTAACTCTTACATTAAGACTTTGCTCAAAACTTAGCAGATTTCATTTGCCAGTTTATCATGCATTGTTATATACCACTCAACCAATTACTGTCTCAAAATACTGTCTTGTTCTTTCATTATTGTTGAAATTTCCATTTATTTTTATCTTTTTTTGTCAGTTAGATTGCAATATTCTGTTTTTTAGTTTTGTTTTGTTTTTGTTTTGAGATGGAGTCTCTGTCTCCCAGGCTGGAGTGCAGTGGTGTGATCTCAGCTCACTGCAACCTCTTCCTACCAGGTTCAAGCATTTCTCCTGCCTCAGCCCCCTGAATAGCTGGGATTACTGGTGCCTGCCACCATGCCCAGCTAATTTTTCTATTTTCAGTAGAGACGGAGTTTCACCGTCTTGGCCAGGCTGTTCTCAAACTCCTGACCTCATGATCCTCCTGTCTTGGCCTCCCAAAGTGCTGTGATTATAGGCATGAGCCGCCGTGCCCAGCCAGGTTGCAATATTCTTTAAGACATACTTGGCCCTCTCAAGGATAAGGTGATCAATGTTTTTTATAGATCATTGTATTGCTTTTCCATGCTGCAGTAACAAATCACCACAAACTTAGTGGCTTCAAACAATACAAATTTATTATCTTACAGTTTGGTAGGTTACAAGTCCAACATAAGTTTCACCAGAATAAAATTAAGGTGTCAGTGAGAAGGCCCTCTAGAGGCTCTAGGGAAAAAAATCCATCTCCTTGTTTATTCAGATTACTGACAAAATTCAGTTCTTTGCAAGTAGTTGTAGGACTGAAGTCCATGTTTCGTTGGTGAATGTATCTGAAGGTATTTCCCAGCTTCTAGAGGCTGCCCACATTCTTGAGCTTATGTGTCCCTTCCTCTAGCTTTATCACTTCTCTTAGAATGACTTTTCTTCTTTCCTCTTATGCTTTTAAGAGCCAATATGATTACATTAGGCCCACCTAGATAATACAGGATTATCTCTCAACTGACTTCCAGCCTCAGCTCCCCTTTGCCATAAAAGATAGGAGACTCACAAGTTCCGGGGGTTGTGAACATTTTGGGGGAATCACTATTCTGCCTGCCACAGTCTTTCAACAGGATAATTGCAAGGGTGAGATCCTGAGCTGGTGATGTATGAAATTCTGCTTCAGGCGGTTTTGAACACAAATTGAACTCAGCCACAGAGCTAGCACCTCCTGAGAAAGTGGCAAGCTCCTAGCTTCTGTACGTACAAGGAAAAACTACGTTTGATATTTTAGGAACAAAGATGGTAAATGTAAAGGGGCCCCCCTGGGCTGCTCCACTTGACACTAATGATAGTGCCTGTGAAATGTCTCCAAAGGAGACTGGCTGCTCACACGTGAAATCCTTTTCAAATTCAAACTAAAATGTTACCCAACACCTGGTTTCTTATGATATTTAAAGACATATTTTATCCAGTAAATCAAAACTAAATACAGTAAAGTATGAGCAAGTTTATTCATTGACTTCCTCTCAATCTGACTATGAACAGTTTGATGCCTGAGGTGACTCTTATTTCTCTGCACTCGGTACAGCTGTTCAGCCCTTCCTATTGCTATCAGACATATCTTTCTAAAATAACTGATTTTGTTCCTAAAGCAGGGCAAAGACAAAAAGCAGCAACTGAAGAGTTCTTCTAAATGCATGGTCAATCACAGGAATGTAATGTTATGTTGAAGGTGCTGTACAACAAAACTGAAGGGCAAATGATGATCTCAGTAAAACCAGTCTTCGGGAACCATGCAGTAGTTCAACTTACTCTACAGAGCCTTATTTCTAGGCATCTCTGAGCTGTGTCCATGTATTCTCATGGGCACAGTGCTGGGCACACGGGGTTTGGCATAGCAGGTAAACAAGTCGCCATGGACAATGCTGCTGCAGAGAATCATGGATCAAGTGGACAATGTGAGAGGACTCTGGAGGTCATGTACATCTAAGGGACTGCAATGCCCAAGGTAAATTTATCTCACAAACGTTCATGGGTCACTGGCATATTCCAGGCATTGTTCCAGGTTTTGAATTAAGTATAAAAAAGTCCTCGCTTTTAACAAACTGACAGCTTAGTGGAAGACCAATTAAGATATTTACTCAGCAGACAATGAGACGTGCTTAGTTAGAGGTAGCATAGATTTGGAAGCACAGAGGGGTCCAGATAGTGTTTAAGAAAGTATTGTTGCAAAAAGAAATGAGCATTTAGTTAAGTGTTGAAGAACCAGAGGGAGGTGCATGAGAATATAAACATGGGGAAAGTAATTGAAGACGAGGTAATGGGGCAG